ACAAACACTTAGAACTTGATGCATATCGTCATAGTGTCTGATTTTTGATTTGTTTGACTGTATTTCTTACCTCCGCTTAAGCATTGAGGACAATGCTCAGTTTAAGTAAGAGGGAAGTAAGAGGGAGTAAATTATTTCCTGCTTTTCTATAATAGGATTTCCCGTTTTCTAATTAGGATTTTATATGCTTTCTAATTTAAGAGTTGATTTTTTAAAATTTAAGAGTTGATTTTTTAAAATTTTTGTCGAGCTACCGACGTTAAACATAGTGTTGCGTGAGAGGCAACCCATGATTTCGATTTATATAATGCCATTTCAATTTTTCTATCTTTCATTTTTTATTTCAATTTACTTTTGATCACTTAATTTGATTTATTTTTCACTTTATTTTACTTTAATTTACATATTTAATTGATTATTTTTAAGGCCAAGTACATAAATGAGCTACAATGCACCAAAATTTAGCCTTAAAAATCAATTAAAGTCATTTAATATCAAATTAAAAAATGTGTGTTAAGGTCCATGGTGTTCACCATAGACCCATGGCGTTCCCCATAAGCATATAAGTTGCAAAAACACAATTTTGAACGATTTTTCCACACGGGATTCACTCCTTCCACTACCCAAAGTCAATATCTCCCTTAACTCTCTTAACTCCCCCACTCATACCCACTTCACACTACCTCCAAGCTTTCAAACTTCCAATTTCCCCATTCCACCACCACAGTTCCTCTATTTTAACCCTCATTCATCCCCCATTAATCACTCCACGACAAACTTAGTTTCTCAATTTCACACTTTCCTTCAACATCAAACTTACTCCTATTTCCAAACATTCTCACAATTCCCCCAAGAGTGGAAAGACCGGCAATCAATTTTATGAACATTGTTTTCAGAGAGGGAGAAGATGGTAAGAGGCAAAGGAAAAGGTATATTAAGCTGTTCAACTGTTCGGTCGTTCCGACAAGGTATGCGGGTGAATCTGCTTGCGTAACTTAGATTTGCTTAGCAGTGTGCTATGGATGTCGAGTAAGTTAGAACTTGCCCATTTTTGTGCATTGAGTGGCCATACTTATGTTAAGTTAAATCTTGAATTTTTGAACTCTTTTGGTTATTTCACGCCAATGGTAAGTCACAACATTGTAGGCACTGTGAAGTTTAGGATGTTTAACAAAGAATACGAACTGAGTCAGGATTATATTTCTGACCTGCTACACTGTCCCCGTGGGGACAGTATAGCATGCGAATGGCCCTTAGAAAGGGAGTGGCAGGCGTTTCGCTTTTGGGAACAATTGACAGGTGAGGCCACGTCTAATTGGGAAGGGCTAAAATCTACATCAATCCAAAACCTGACCATACGTTACTTACACTGCATATTAGCAAACACCGTATTTGGTCGGGTAAACTATAAGGAGTTGTTCTTTATGCACAATGTATTCACACAGACACGAGTCAATACAACTCCATTTATGTTCGCACACATGCAATATGTTTGCACCAGAGGGACTGGTCGCATTTGCATTGGAGGATCAATCACCTCCATAGCTCGTGCATTGGGCCTAGACACCAAACTGGCGACCCTACAGCCCCTTGAGACACCTTTATTTTATATTACTTCTTGCCGAAGCATGTGCCTGGTTAAAGTTAGGCAAGACAGCAGATACTTTTTTATGGCTAGAAACCGTGAAGTTAGGGGGTATTATTTTGCCTTGTCTCGCACATACTGTTGTGCAAAACAGGGATAACTGGACTTATGATCTGACCGCCACAGAACCTGGTCATCTTTCCCATACTGACATGCCTGTGCAGAACAATGAGGGTGATCTGACGGATGATGAATTTGATCAGGTGGGGCAAGATGCTCTCGTCCTTATTTATGAACCTGTTACACACACTGCGCCTGATTCTTCTAACACTTTTGTAGGTACCTCTTCCGGAGAAAACTATAATGAAGATATGATGACGGAACAAAGAGCATGTGAGGAATAGTGTGATGGCTTGTTTTATGCTATGTATGAGCAGCAATAAGATATAGAGTTTATGCAGGCATTGCAAGACCAAACGAATTGATCCTCACGATCGGTGTTAGAAGCCCAAGCCGACCTGGCAGCTCAAGTGCAACGTCAACAGGCTTCACAGAGGAGTAACTTCACTCTTGTGGAAGCTAACCAAGCAGCTATGCTAGGGCGCCTCTGCGACTTACAAGCATTCAACGCCTCATTATTAGCTCGAGTGCAACAACTTAAGGTGTCTCAGAGTTCCTATCACCACAGCAGGAGTTGTCACACACGACATGCCCATCATGTGCAGGACCAAGGAGGAGACGGCCATGGAGGCCAGTAGTAGTATTTACAATTTCTGTCATTCGTTTTCCAGCTTTTCTCAAAACATTAGGGACAATTTTTTGTTTAAGTGTGGGGGAGGAAATTCATCGTTTTTATTTATTTCTTTCTAGGTAGATTTATTGTTTTCTAGTTTATTTCATGTTTTTAGGATTTTATCTATTTTTAGTGTTTAGTCCATTGCATGTGATGTCAAGTCTTCATGCGCGGTTTTCAGTAGATTATTGAATTTCCCTAAAAAGTAGGCCCCAACAAAAACTTTCCTCTTGATTCATGAAACGACACTTTGAAAGTATATAAGTTGTTATAATATAGGCTATGTTACAGAGACTTGAGAAAGTTTCGACAACATCTATATCGTCCCGACACCTTAGGTTTCCCAAATATGAAAATCGGTTTGAGTACCTATTATGCCAAAACCTTAAGTTCTTGTTCTTAAGTAACCCTTGATTAGTTTATATGAGCAGTCGGCACCATCTAGAAATCACACACTAAGTAAGTTGATGCAAATAAGTGAATGATCATATGCTTAATGAGAAATCCGAATAGGAATTTGCCTTCTAAGTTAGGTGACCTTCGCCCAGTCATTTAACCTAACGGGAGTGAAACCTTAAAATAAAAAAATAATTGTCGCTAAATGACTAATTTCGAAGTGCAAAATAGGATGTGGATCATAATCACTAACAAACTTATTTACCATGGATATGAATAAATAATGGGCTTAATGTGATTGTGCTCGAATGGAAAAGGGTGAAAAAGGATAAGTGATTTAAGTTGAGCCATATTAGCATGATTCGGACTGGTTTGCATAAGAGGGAGGTTTTTTACTGTGAAACGCAGAATTGTGTCTTTACGGTATCCCTGTTATTGAAAATTAGTGTCTATTGATCTAACACTAGCCAAGCAGCCACGTACGATTAAGAGTCTTGTTATGCTTTTGTTTTAAACTGTGCTTATATTTTTATCATGTTAGTCGATTATTTGAGGACAAACAATGATTCAAATATATGGGAGTTTGATAACGTGAAAATACATAGTATATTTCGACTCGATTCGTATGCATTTTAGTGTCGATTTTATATGTTTTCGTAGTATTATGCTGGTATTGTTTGATTGTTTTAGGTAATTATTAAAGAAGAGCATTGTTGCAAGAAACCGGAGAAAAAAAGCAAGAAATGAAAAGAAAAGACAAATAAGTTGTTTCTACTTGTTTGCATTAATTCAATTAAATTCAATTGTTATGTTGCTGTTAATTTCAAATATCAAGAATTTCATATTTATGTTTAATACCTAAATTCCTTGAGTTCGGTATGTGAGAATCATCATTCTAACGGAACTCGGTAATGAATTGGCGTGACCTTTTTATAAATTATTTTTCTGCTTTTGATTTTTAATTTCAAATAAAAAAGATTTTGCGCGACAATGAAAACATTAAGGTTTGGAGTCAATAGCACGACATGGTGAGGCTCAAACTAGATAGTAAAAATTGGATATTAATCCTAAACACAACGATAACACTTTAGGATTATTGAGTCCCTAAAGTAATTTAAGGTTTTTAAACTAACATTGTCTAGTGAAAAGTAATTTAACACGTAACATAGGCCAATGAATTATTGAGTCCCTAAGGTACAATGAGATCCACATTCCGGTTTCTCCTAGTTGATATATTTTCTAAGCTTTATTTTAGTTTTTGTTTTAATTTCCCCCTAATCAAAAAATTTATAGCCTTAGATTTACGTAGCACCAATAGATAGTGATAAGATTGATTATTGATTATTGATCCCTATGAGTTCGATATCTTTTAAAGCTATGTGATACAACTGTACACTTGCAATTAGATAATCCATTACACATAGTCACGATCAGAACCCGAAGAAAAACCAGGCTGAATTTGTGATTATTAGCTAAAGATTGATACAAAATACCCAATACTAATTCCACCTATTCAATCATAAATTCAGAACACATCATGCTAATACTAAGACATACAATCTAAATAAGAACGCAATCCTATTATAATTTTTAAAGATACTAACAAATCAATTATAATAAATATCAATATCTCAACCAGAAGAAAAGACGAGAGAATGAATGTGAGATATGTGAAGAGAAAAATATTGAAGGAAGAGAAGAGGACAGGGGAAGTGCATTGGATATGGATGGGAACCTACTGGCTATGCTAGGGGAGAATGAAGTTAACATTTTGAAACTCAAAGGATCAACTTGAAAACAAATAAGAAAGATGAATCTAAAACTAAATTTTAAGATTTTTTTAATAAACCAAGTAAAAGGATTTGCTTAATTAAAATGCAATACACTGACTTTTATAGTGTAAGCAAAGTATGGACCTTTTTTGTATCAAGAAACTACTAATAACATAAATCAATCACCTTGCTGGTGAGAATACATGGAAAATGAATAAAATTAATTGTGGAATGTCACATATTTTCGCACTGTTTAGTACTTTCTTAGGCATGTTTGTAACCATGCACATAAGATATAGAAAAAACTTCCTTTCAAAACCTGTAATTTTAAGTTTATAACAAACAAAAACAACAACAACAATTTCTTGCATCATGCTCAAGTTGAAACGAAGTACGAAGAATTCAATAGTTTTTCTCTGCTACCAAAATTGAAGGACATGATTGAAGAACCTGGTCATAAAAAGCATTTAAGTCTTGCAAATGTCAAATAGCCCGTGTGACCTCGAGCTTCACCACAAGGTCTAGCCATGACAGAAGAAGTAGAATTGCTGAGAGCATAGTTTCCATCTGAACACTGTCTCCTCTTGCGAGAAAGAGAACCATTAGAACCATTGTCATCTCCATGAAAGCTTTCCCTTTTCTCTTCTCGAACTTCATATTGGCGTAAGAGTATCTCAAATGTCCTTATACCTTTCACATAAGCAAAATATAAACATAGGACTTGTTAGTAGGCCCAGTATGAGATAAGGTTCAGCCTAATTTAGTTATATTCTATGTTACAATAAACGTAAGAATAAATAAAATAGAAGAATCAACAAAGGGTTGGTCCAAATGATAAGAGATTACGATTCTTTAAGTAAAGTCAGCGGTTCGAACCCGCCTTATGTTGGGAGGAAAGAACCCGCCTTATGTTCGGAGGAAAGAACCCGCCTTATGTGTCAAACAGGTTCCCCGACAGAGATTAATCATAGCTAAACGATAGTGGAAACATCCCTAACTCCCAGTGGACAGTAATTTAAGGTTATTTCCCCTTTTATATCTCTTAATGCAGTTTTATTTATCTTTGGTAATACAACTTTGTTTGAAATTCATTTCCAAAGTTTCATCAATAAATCCACAAGTAATTATCCCGTAAATTAAGAATAAAACAGTAGAATCCAAACTGATTCAAACAGAATTCTGTCAGAAAGTTGATGCATGTTGCACAAGTAACTTGAAACAGAAAGAAAATGCAAACAATGGCGGAAAATTAGAAAATATAGATATGATGACAGAAAGAAGAAATCATCATTGAAGTTAATGAAAATGTGTTTTTAAAACACTGTTTTCATTATTTTCGAAAATGTGTTCACTCTGGTTTGCTTCTATCTTCTCTGTATCATAACTAAACAGGACATTATAATCAAATGTCATTCCATCTACTCTCATACAAAGTAAAAATGAAAATTGAAAACATTGCTAGATAGTAAATTGGTCCTGAAAGTACCTGTGAAGCAGGACTGAAGTGCATCACACGATCGTTGTACTTGTTCAACACACGGAGAGAATGAGCACAGTGTGCAATCTGGTTTAAGCATTTTTGCAGCTGAAGGAATGGCCAACCAAGGTTGAGGTAGATCCAAAAATACAGAGTCGGCCTTGCCAATAAATTCATCAGGAAATCCCTTACCCTGAATGTCCCTAACTCCCACACTGACTAAGCTACTTATACCCGTTCTCTCAAAATCATCCCTACAAAATAATTAAAAATCAAGTTGAACTTCTTAGGCAACGGTATTGATTGAAAAACAGTACAAAAAGTTTCACATACACAGTGTATAAAACTTAAATCATTCAAAATAATCCAGAAGTCACATGTGAAAGCTACATACATATAGACAAAACACTATTTGTTACCTAGCCAACGCAGCCCTTTGTTCATGAAAATCAAACGTATAGACATGTCCTCTAGGTGCAACTGCTCTCGCAAGTGAAGTAGTTAAAGACCCACTTCCAGTTCCACATTCAAGAACCAAGCAACCCGGAACAATCTCCAAGTTCATGACAACCAAACTAATATCCGCAATATAGAGAATTTGAGTCCGGTGACTCAACACCAAAGTCCATAATTCTGGTGTCGGAGCCAACAAGTAAACAAAACCACCCTTACTGAATACTTTACCCCCAAAAGGCTTTCCAATCCAATCTGAATGTTTAAAAACACCAAAACGATTCTGCAAAACCGAACCCTCAGACACTGTTACAGCCTTCATAATGTCATGCCTCTCGTAAACAATAACCAGATCGCCATAACGAATCGATCGATTGAACGATATTGTTTTCTCAGGATGACTCGCCAACATCTTGAAAAAGTCTTCAAACCCTTCAACCTAGTGAAAAAGAACAACTATCATCATCCACAAAAGTAAGAAACTAATTAACTTAGCAGTTATAAGATAAGCGATTATCATACAAGTGCTTTTGCATAAATTAGTTCAATCCAAAAAGTTTATTTCATTGTCTTTCAAATAATGAGTATATAAAACTGATGAAAGTAAAAGCAGAAGTGTTATAACCTGAAACCCTAAAATGAGTGAATGGGTAAAGGAGAATCCAACCAATTTGAATTTGAGGAAGGTTTTATAGTAACTGATTAAAAAGGTGAAAACTTGCTTGTCCCAATTAGTCGCTTTAATTTTGAAGTTGAGGAAATTAGGGTTTGAAGGTCGATCTGTGTTTAGTTTCATGAACCTGCAAAGAACGGCATAGACCTAAATTCTAACCGGTAGCCGTTCGGTTTTGATTAATTTGAGTTTAATTTATGGATTAATAAATATGAAAATTGTACTAAAACTAATTATTTAAGAATTAAATATTAATGAATAGAATTAATTAATAATGTAAAGAATCATAAAATATAATATATTGTTTATTATTTTATTTTATTTTTAAATAATATATAGAATCAAGATTATATATAAATAGAAGGTAAACTAGCCACAAACTGCGCCGCTATTTTTTTTTAATGATAAAATCAATTCTCTTAAACATTATATTTATTGTTTTAGGTGACACAACATTGTTATTCATGAGTTGTTGCACGCTCTGTAAAAGATCAACGGCTTCTGATATTAGAAAATCAAAGGTGCAAAGGCAAATGGGATGAAAGCATTATTGATTGTCAAAACACGTTTTTTCATACTTGGTCACTTTACTTGAAGCGACTTTGAGAGTTGTTTGTCCCACAGTAAAATTTGTAGTCTTCTGTACCACCAATAGGAAATGCTTGTGAAGTCAACACATGCATGTTTCCCTCCTACCCACCCATACACCATAACACCGGTTGGCCAAAGAGTCGACCTCCTCTTCTGTGGATCAGTCAAGAAATTCATAGATGTCTCTTTCTTCACATATACCCATGCATGCCTAAATACATCAAATAAGACATTCATAATAAAGTCATATTAGTATTTGAATCCTGAGAGTTCCTTGGAATGAATAGTGTGTTCCCTAACTGTATCCAAGCACGCCTTGCGGCAAATAGGGCAAACCTCATCAATAGAGAATAAGCGAATCATAAGTCGATGTTTAAGGATGGTACGATACTTTAATGGAGACATATGTTGGCCTATACCGTTAATAGGAATAGCAAGGAGAAAATCTTGAGCATGTGCTGCTTGCAAACAACCAAAGACTACTTTTTATCTTGTAGTCATGTCAAACTTTACATCACGTCATGAACACTTTTACTAAAAAGGGCACTCGTCAAAACATGTTGTGCTTTAGGAGGGACGATGTCCTTTTTAGTAAAACCGCTAAGGTAACAATGCGGAATCAAAGAATTAAGGTCATCCAAAACTCTATCAAAATCAAGGTCCATATCATATATCTCACTGCCTCTCAATATATGATTTTGTAACAACTAAGATTGGATTCTAGAAGACACAAATGCGTAAGATGCAGCCTCTATTGTAGAGTAAAAACTCAAACCCCCTACTTTAATAGGCAAAGAAGCCGCCTTTTATTAAAGGTCCCAAAAGAAAGGACCTTCATCAACCACGATGTCTTCGACCGTCCTTCGCAATTTTTTATCAAATAAAATAGTTGTTTTCTCCTTATGATTAGGTTGACAAGTTCTAAGGCTAAAAGAGAGTTTTTTTATATATATTAATTATAAAAAAAACAACTTAATTAATAAATTAAAATTAAAAAATTATAGATTAATATAATGAAATAAATAATTAGTAATAATAATAATTGTTAACGATTTAATACTAATTATATTATTAATGTGTAGTAATTTTAATTATTAATAATAGGGGGAAAATCAATTAATATGTCAAATGTATGTCGATTTCATATAGTTTTCTAATACGTTGATCTAAATTGTTGGAACTTTGAACCACAAAGCTGGTGAATAATGGTGGAGAAAATTGGAAAGTGGAGAGTGAAAGATGAAAATCAAGAGAGAGAGAGAGAGAGAGAGAGAGAGAGAGAGAGAGAGAGAGAGAGAGAGAGAGAGAGAGAGAGAGAGAGAGAGAGAGAGAGAGAGAGAGAGAGAGAGAGAGAGAGAGAGAGAGAGAGAGAGTTGGGATGATAAGTGATTATTGCATTAGCCTAGGATGAGAATGCATCATATACATTTATATAAAGATTAATTGGGATCCAAAACAAACAAATGAAATAACAGAAAAGTATAAAACTCGGGCTCGTAACCGGTTACAGTTATCATTGAATTAAATTTCATTCATTGGTAATCGGTTAATGTCACGGGTTAACCAGTTACAACTGTGAAATCTTCACTTTTTTGCTATTCGGAATTATTGTTTGCCTTTCTGTAATCGGTTACACCTCCGTGTTAACCAGTTACAACACTTGAATTACTTGAAATACATTCAACACGCCACCTTAATTCAACTGATCCAAGTCTTCCATGCTCATGTTCACCTTCAACCTCTTGAACACAACATTTATGACTCCCTTAGTCAACAAATCAACAACTTGGTATTCATTTCTACAATATCTCTATCGTAACCTTCCTTCACTAACAAGTTCCTCAAGTACTAAAATCTCATCTCAATATGTTTGCTTCTCCCATGTGCAATTGGGATCTTATCAAGATTAATCGCGGAAACATTGTCAACCATGAGCATAACGGCCTCACCCTCACTGCTACCCAGCTCCTCTAATATATTCATAAACCACATGACTTAGAACACACATAACGAAGCAGCAATGTACTCGACTTCACAAAATGAAAGTGCAACTACCAGTTCCTTCTTCGAACACCATGACATTCGTGTCGCACAAAACATAAAGATGTATGCAGTTGTAGGTGTTTGACCATATTTATCTCCACACTAATTAGAATCGATAAAACCAAGAAAATTTCATTTTCTGCCTGTATTCGCTGCAGGAAAGAGAACTTCACACCAATTAGGATCCTCTTGACAGCTGCCAAGTGAGACACCTTCAGTCTCCCCATGAATCTACTCACAATACTGACACTAAATTCCAAGTCCATTCGCGTATAACACAAATAACGCAAGGATCAAATAAACATCCTATATTGAGTTGGATCAACATCTTGCTCATCCTCATTCTTAAACAACTGCAGCATTGGCTCAGGTGGAAGAATGACAGCATTACAAAGCTCCATTTCGAACTTCTTCAATATCTCAAGAGCATATCTTCTTTAGTGCATGAGTAGTCCTTTTTTAGACTTGTGGAACTCAATTCCAAGGAACTATGTCATGAGGTCAAGGTCGGTCATCTCAAACTCTTTCATAAGTTCACTCTTTGAAGTACAGTTTTTGTTTCTGCCTGTAATTAATAGGTCGTCTACATATAGGCAAAAGATAATCACTCATACACTCGTATCCGTCTTCACATATACTTCAGGCTCAAATACACATTTCTTGAAGCCATGTAGAAGCATACTTCAATCTCAAGGTTTTGATGATGTCAACAAGACTTAAGCTCATTCTGTGGTTGGAAAAAGTCAAGCTTTCAAATTGATCAAGATCAAGACTATGCAATGTTGTCATGCAAATCAAGCTTCGTGTGCAAATGATCGTACATTTTTCAAGACTCGGACACAAGGCTTTGGTATATCAAAATTCTCTCCTTTAATTGATATACAAGTGTTCAAATAGTCTATCATATCAACATATTGCATTTGCATATTCTAAAATATTTTGGAACTGGTATAACACTTTAAACTTAAGTATTTTTCTGAGTTTTAACAGTGTTAACCGATTAACCATATGGGTTAATCGGTTAACGACCTCAAATTTTAAAATCTCAGGGCTAACGTTCCATTGTTAACCGATTAACCTATATGGTTAATCGATTAACACTGAACGAATTTTGAAAAATTGTTTCTTTCCAAATTCAAATCTTGTTTGATTGTTATACCTTTTCATTATTTGATTCATACACATTTATACCTTTTTGAAATGGTGTTTTGACTCATATATGTCGCTACTGCGAAAATCGGCGCCGGCTGACAGAAGAGTCGCCACCGTGCGTTATTTATCCCTCAGAGCGGGAAAGGAAACGCTCGAAGTAAACCTCGCAAAAAACGGGGAAAAGGTATGGTCATCGCAACCATAGCCTGGGTTCGGGAGTCGGTTACGCAAGGGGAAGGTATTAGCACCCCTCACGTCCGTCGTACTCGACGGGATCCACGCTTGCTTGGGTGTCTACTGGATGCAAAACAATCTTATCTACGGCTGCTAAATCTAGAGGGAAGGGAATTGACTCGATAGAGCGTCGCACTCTATGCCTACGTATTCTCAGGAGAGAAAGTCAGAGTCAACGTAGTTCGGGACTACAGGGAAAATTGGCTCGCCAAGACCTCGCGTCTTGTGCCTACGTACTTCCACTGGATGGAAGATCAGAGCTTTACGTAGTTCAGACTAACTACGGCTAAACAAACATTCTCACACAGCAGTGAGAAAAACAACTGGTTTCACAGGGTCGGGAACCTATGGTCAAAACTATGGCTGAGTCTCAAATGCACTTGGGCAAGAGAGAAAAAAGGTTTCAATTAGTCGTCAGCGGGAAAGTCTCGATCGCACAGCCGCGAGAGAACAAAAGTTAGTCGTTAGTGTGCTCGCTAGGATCTCGCATCCTATGCCTACATATCTTCGTCTGGAACGAAGAATCAGAGCAGCTGTAGTTCGGCTACTATCGGACCACAGCTCAAATCTCGTTTTATTCATCTCTGAAAAATGATTACAATGGGTGCATATTAAAAAATAAATCTCCTAGGAAACGCTATCCTATTCTATCTTGAAAAGTCGAATGAAAATAGCCCCCTAACAAATGAGCTTCTAAGCTATCCTAAAAGTCGAAAAAATAAAGTCTATGAAAGTATCCCTAAAAGAAAATGCTTGAAAAAATATTAAAACGAAACTTTAATATTTTTTTACTTTTTTCTCCTTTTCTTTTCTCATATTTTTCTTTTCTCAAAAATATTTTTTCTCTTTTTTTCACAAATATTTTCCTATTTTTTCTCTCACAATATTTTTTCTTCACTCTTTTTTCTATTTCTTTTTCTATTTTCTCTTTTATTGTTTTTTTCTTATTTCTTTTCAAATATATTTCTTCTTTTTTATTTTTCTTTTTCAAATATACTTCTTTTTCTCTATTTTTCTTTTTCAAATATACTTCTTTTTCTTTTCTTCAAAAGAATAAAATAATAAAAAACAAGAAAGGGGAGGGGGTATGCTGTTACAAGGGA